GTCGAGGCCCTTCATACTGAGCCCTGCCCCCAGCCAAGACGCAGGCTCCCAGGTCCCAGAGGCAAGGGTCCTATCTTCAAATGGGAAACTGAGTCACAAAGAGCATTTTTATCTCTAGTGTCTCTTAGTGGCTCAGGCATCCTGACTGAAGATCTTTCTCTTATTCTCAAATTAAGAAGTTAGCTGGCAACAGGCGTAGGTGTCCCAGACCCGAGCCTCTTTCTTGCTACAACCATCCCCTGCCCACCCTCACCTAGAGCTATATGTATATGTTAGGGATCGTGTGTGTGGTATACACTGCAAATAGACTGGAGGGGGCAGTGGAAAGGAATCTGGATGCATGCTGAGTGTATTCATCCTCTTCCTTCTTGCTCTCCTCCTCGTCATTACGCCCATGTACTGAGCCCTTCACCGTGTATCAGGCACTGTGGTGCATGCTTTCAACACAAACCATCTCCTAGAATCTTCACAGCAACCTTATGAAGTAGGTGTCATCACAATCTCCATTTTACAGATAAGGAAAAGCAAGTCCAGAGAGGCTAGGCTGCCCAAGGTCACGAGAGGCAAAACCAAGATTAGATCCACTGAAGTCTACTGTACGTTTCTGTCACCTTGCCTGAAGGTCCCTAAATCCTAGGAACAGCAGGGGATGGGGTTCCCTAAGTCCTAGGAACAGCAGCGGGTGGGGGTGGACATTCGATGACCGCACTGACAGAGGATGGTGGGCTTGGGAGAAGGGAGGAGGACCCCGCAACACATGGGGCAGGAGATAAGGACTTGCTCACTTGTGGGACTTCTTGGTGTTGGCCCCGTCGGGGCCCTCGCCACAGTCATAGGCCTGGATGGTGAAGGTGTGCTCCTTCTGGGCCTCGCAGTCCACAGGCTCCTTGGCCCGGATCAGCCCCTCTCCTGTCGCCTTGTCAAGGATCACGGCCTCAAAGGGCACCCCAGACCCATGGAGCCGGAAGCCACAGATCTCACCTGGCAAAGGGGAGAAGGGGAGGAGTGAGGCTGCTATGTCTCCTTCCCCACCCTCAGCCTCCCCACCTGGGGTCCAGCTCCACCTCTCCTCCCGAAGCCCTGTCCCTTCTCCTGTAGGCATAAAAGCATTAATGATCAAACACACAACTCCAAGCCCAGCTTCCCTGAGCAGCAACCTCCCAGAGCCTCCAGGCCTGAGATCTGACAAAATCATGATGTGTTTAACCCTTGCCTGGCCATGTCCTTTTCTGGCACCCCTGACTCGATCTCCATTCTTCAATGGAGCCCATTTCCCTCCTTGAGCCCACCTTTATTTTCCCAAGGCCTCTTCCCTTACTTTCTCATTGCTCCCAGGACCTTCCCTCCCTCCCTTGATTTTGGCCCTCCCACCCACTTTTCTCTGTCCTATCCTGCCTTGCCATCCCCCAATCCCAATTACCTGCATAGCGCAGCGGGGCATCCTTGTCCAAGGCAAAGAGTGGTGGGTTCAGCAGGACCGTGTTGTCATTCTCCATGACGATGCCCTGGTACTCTGCCTCAATCCATGGCTTGTGCTTGTTGGCTGGCCCCACCCCAGGGAGAGGAGAGGAAGCACCTGTGAGCAGGGCCTCTACTCCCACAACAACCCTTGTTGACCCAGACAACTCACACCTCAGCACCCTCACCCTTTCCACCCCCTATACGAGCACCTTACAGGAGGCGGGTGGTTGAGGACAAGAAATCAGCTACTAAAGGAGTCAGAGGGTCTGCGGAAGGTCATAGCCTTCTCCTATAGTAGGGTAGACAGTTCCCATGGAAACTACCTGCCCTGGGGGTGAGAAGGAGGCGATCACTATCTCCCTGGGAACCATGGTCAGGATGTGGAGAATGTTCTTTAGGGATTTCACATGCTAGAGAATGGAGACTGGGAACTTCAGGGAGCAGTGGTGGGCCGTGAGAAGGCCCTGGAAAGGGAAGGGATAGATTAAGGACAGAATTGAAACTAGAAAAAGAGGTAGAAGTTTCCTGAGCTCCTGATTGCTTATCCTCCTCCTAACTCATTTCAATCCTGATTCCTTCACTCTGCACTTCTCCCAGCCAAGCCCCAACTTGAGGCCATTCTCCCAGAACACAGGATGGGGAGAAAGGAGAGAAGTGAAGATATATAGGACAGAGGGAGGGGGCAGAGAGGGGCAGGAATGGAGCAGAGGAATCAATGCCGAGCAACTGGACCTAGCAGAGCCGTCATCCTAAGGGATTATCGGGCTGGCCTAGAAACATGACAAATCCTGTCCCTGCTTCCCACCCCCACACCCAGGAGAACACATTCGAAACCGGCACATTTCTATGTCCTCCACCAGACCATCAAACCACACTCCCTGAAACCCACTTTTTATACAGAACTCAATCCCAGTTCTTATCTACCCCACCCCTCTGCCCTTCAACCACCAGCCAATTCAGAATGGATGCGGGACTCATCAGACTCCCAATCTCCCCATCTTCTACCAGATTCAGGCTGGTGAGGGACTGTGGGGAAGCATATTTCCTCCTCTTCCACATCACCCCCCAACCCAGCCTCCACACTTGCTCTATCTAATCCCATCAAGCCAACACCCAGGCTCCCAAAGCACACCCATGAGGCAGAAGGAAACTGAGTCACCAAAAGGAACCTCATTCCCTGTATCTCATGGTGAGGAAGAAACCCTGATTTCCATTCTCTCCTCCAACCACACCCCAGCAAGCCTGTGGCATGGGAAGGCTTTCTTACTGATGACCACCATAACCCCTTCCTGAATGCTGAGGAGAAAGCCACAAGATGGTGCACAGGAGGCGGTACAGGAAGTGGCAGGAGGCTAAGAGGGGAGGCTGAGGTCAGAGATGCAGGAGAGGAACAGAGCGCGATGGAAGGGCAGGGCTGGGCGCCTTCTGCGCAGCTCCCGCTCCCACCCTGCTTGTCTCCCCAGGTCTCTGAGCCTCTGTCTCCTCTCCTCCTGGCCCCCTGCGGTCTCTGCATTTGCTCCCTTTCACTCCTAGGCTCCCGGGCTCCTCTTTGACTCACTCTTTTCCTGACTTTCCTCTCATTCTTCCCTCTTTTTTCTGCCTCCACCTTTACCCTTTTCCATCCCCTCCTCACCCCCTCCCACGCCTCATCTCCGGTCTTCTCCTTCTCAGCTTTCCCTCTCACTACTCATTTAGCGCCCCCCACACACCCACTTCTGCCCTTTCCTGCCAGTCTCCATCCGTTTCCACCTACCTGAGCCCTCTGCCCGCAAGGCCCCCCACCCCCCACGCCCTCCCTCTCCGTTCGTCCGACAGCCCCGCCCAGCTGAATGTATCCGCTGTCTGCCAGAGAGGGCAGCTCTGGTAACCCACAGCCCAGCTGATGCAGGCATAAGGGTATGAATGCAGAGGCACACGCAAAAACATACGTGCTCCGAATTGCTGAACTGCAGCAAATACTTTCTCCCCAGGATGGGATGGAGGCGAAGCAGATGGATCTGCCACACACCCTTCGCATGCGCCAGTGAAAGGGAGAGCCGCTGGGAGACGTTTGTCACCCGCTCGGGGGCAATCCTTCCCAGACCGGAGGTAGCCACCGGCGTGCAGAAATTGGGGGAGGGGGAGAATAGAGACCCCAGGACGGCAATGGAGACCAAATGGGAGCAAGATGACCAGCAAGAGAAACGCATGGGTAGAGATGGACCGGAAAGGAAGGTGTAGCTGGGAGGAAGAGAGGGAGAGGAGACGGAGCAGGTCTGAGAACATGGATGGGAAGGCGGGTGATCAGAAGAGGACCAGACACTTGTCAGGTGCCAGCGGAGCCTCGACACCTCCTTCCCACCCCTACCGCGCACGGCGCTGCCCGACACCCCTCTTTCAGGACCCCCACCCCCACCTCACTCACCTTTGTTACAGGAGCAGGACGCGAGCAGAGAGGCCAGCAGAAGGGGCAGCAGCAGGAGGGTCATGGTGCGGCGTGGGGCAGGGCAGGGCCAGGCGTTTGCCTCCCCTGGGAGCCTCCAGCCTGCGGATTCCACCTTGCGGGAGGGATACAGGGGGTCTCTAAGGAGCGGGGGACAGCAGGGCAGGGACCTAAAGGAGCCTACCGCCCACACGAGTCCATAAAGCGGGCCTGGGCAGATCCCAATCTGGGCAGCTGAGGCGGGGGACTTGCAGTGGCTTCCAGTTTCCCCCAGCCCAGCGTCCTCACTCTCTCACTCCCACCCCAACCCCGCTACTGCAGGATGACGTCAGCACAGCCGGGCAACGATTGATGGCGCCGCCGGCCAATCAGGTGACTGGGGGGTACCAGGTGCTGCAGCGGGGGAGGGAGCCAATGGGACTGGGGCGTCGGGGCTGGAGAGCTTCAGGGCTCCTTCCCCTGGCTGCAATTTGGGGGAGCCGAGGAACTGCGGGGGCTGGGGAGGAAGCTGGAGAGCCACGGAGGGGGTGGGAAAGAAGAGGGACGTGGGGAGAAAGAAGCCAGAAGCCAGGGGGTGGAGAAGAGAGACGTCAGCGGGACCTGAGGGCGGCCAGGAGGGGTGGCGCCGCGTCACCCCGCCCCCCAAACTCTGCATTAACCTCTTTCCAAAGCCCCTTCCATCCACAGATCCCTGCTGCGTGCCCTCTGGGAACAGTGAAGTAAAACCCTCAGTCTGAGTCTGAGAAATCCTGGCATTTGTAGCCCAGGTCTGCGAGGAAATCGCAGGGCGGTAACGAGGCTCTGGGACCCGAGGAGGGATAGGACGTCGTGCACCCCTCGCGCGCGCACCTGTAGGGACCGGTCGCCTCCTCCCGCCTACCTGCCTCCCTCCTTCGCCCCGAGTTTCACCTTAAACCGTGATGAACCAAGCCCAGGGGATTCTGAAGCCCGGGACGATGGCAGGTTCGAGACAGAACTGGGCAGCTGGGGGCGGGGCACAATATTATTTAGGCGCCTCCACCCCACAGAAATACATCTGGAAAGCATGGGCTGCCCTAGGGCTGGAGACTGGGGGTTATGGTCTCATCGATGACTCAGAGGGAGAGAAAACCCTCAGGGTCCCAAGCCAAAGAGAATAAAATTCTCCAGAATAGCCAACAAACTCCTCTCTGGCTGTCTGTTCCGGACTTTGAACTCAGCAGCCCTCGGGCTCCGCCTCCCTCCTAAAGGCTCGTTAGGACCAAGAGTCTGGAAAGCCACTTTGGGGTCCCAGTTGAGCACATTGCCTGAGGGAGCTTTGGGGGCCAGGCCTACAGGGTGCTCTTCATGGTGGCTTCTGGGCAGCTGGCTGTCCTCACCCCTCCCCTCACATCTTCCAACATCACTCAGTCCCAGGATCTCAGGATATTGCTGGAACTCATCTCCACCTCACACAGCCAGACCAGCCTCAGGTGCCTCCTAGGAGAGACTGACCCTCAGGCCCTGGGAGGGTCCCCAAGCCTGCCAAAAATGAGGTGGAGGCCAAAGCTGGCCTTCGGATGGTTCGAGTTTTGGATGACTGACAGCCCCAGATCCTGCTCCAGGTTCTTTCCTCAGGAAAAGCCAAGGTCAGACACAACTTTGCCAAATCCCTGCCCCTTCTTCAGGCTGGAGACACCACCCCCAAACCCACCATAGGGGGAGGGAGAAAGTCTGATAGGGACTCTTATTGCAACAGGGCCCCAGCCTTATAAAAAGCCCTGGTAACCAGGCCCTTACACATCCTGTCTCTGTGTGTGCCGGCTGGCCTGAGTCTCTCAGCCTCACCTGCCAGACAACGCCCCCTCCTTCCTCACCCTGTCTCCTGTATTCTCCTGAAACCTTGATCCACACAATGCCTCCCAACCTCACTGGCTATTACTGCTTTGTGTCACAGAAGAACCTGGAGGACTACCTGCAAGCCTTAAGTAATGGCCTCGCCCTCCCAGACCCGTCACTCCCTTTCTCCCCTCTTTCTTCCTGCCTCTTGGTCCCATGGAGAAGAGGGAATGCCCGGGGTTGGGCACTGTGGAAAGGCTCAGGTGGCTGGCGCCTGACCTGGGATCCACTTCTAACCAGGCATTGGAAGGAGGGGGTGAATCCATAGTCCCAGACCCAAGGAAGGGAAACTCACAGCCCTGAGGGGCTGCTGCTGGCAGAGGAGCTCCTGGCTGGCTAGCAGCACCCCTACTAAGAGGCAGCCCCCACAGACATCAGCTTGGCTGTGCGGAAGATCGCGCTGCTACTGAAGCCCGACAAGGAGATCGACCACCAGGGCAACCACATGACGGTGAGGACGCTCAGCACCTTCCGAAACTACACTGTGCAGTTCGATGTGGGAGTGGAGTTTGAGGAGGACCTCAGGAGCGTGGACGGACGGAAATGCCAGGTACGTTTCCCCTGGCTGGGCGGTGGCCAGAAGGAGGCATCACAGGAGACTCCTAACAACATGGGGCAAAACAAAGTGACCTTCCCCAGCCAGAGCGGGGGGAGGAGGGGAATGGTCACCACAGCAGGGAACGCGGTCACCACAGCAGGGAACGCAGTCCCCAGGATACCAGTCTCCAGAACTAACAGGTCCTGGTGCTCCCCGTCTCTCCCCCACTTCTTCCCTGCCCTCTCTTCTCACCAGCCCAAAGGGCAAAGAACAGGGACACTCAGACCGAAGAGCAAACATTTGCCCACTCTCTAGCCTGTGACACTGTTGGTCACCCAGAGTCTCTTTTACTTTAGCATCAATAACTTCACTCTCCTGCATTTCTTTCTACTTCTTACATATTCCTTCTTAGCCTCTTTGCAGATCCTAATCCTCCTATTAATTCTTTAAACTGGAGTTTTCTCCCCAGAGTTTTGTTCTTAATGTTTTCTCCCTTTTGTCTGCCCACTATCCATAGGCTAAATCATCTACACCCATGCCTTCTGCTTCCATCTATAGGCTGCCCTTGGCATGAATTCTCCAGCCAGAGCCATCTCCTGAGCTCCAGGGCAATGTTTTCAACTGCCTACAAAATACAGTTGGCCCTCCATATTCATGGGTTCTGCATCCACAGCTTCAGCAAACTGCAAATGGCAAATATTTGGGAAAAATAAAAATAAAAAAAATACAAAATGATACAAATAAAAAATAACACAGTATAGCAACTATTTACAGAGCATTTGCATTGCATTAGGTATTACAAGTAATCCAGAGATTATTTAAAGCATATGGGAAAAGGCTGGGCGTGGTGGCTCACACCCATAATTCCAGGACTTTGGGAGGCTGAGGCAGGCAGATCATTTGAGGCCAGGAGTTCAAGACCAGCCTGGCCAACATGGTGAAACCTTGTCTGTACTAAAAATACATAAATTAGGCCGGGCGCAGTGGCTCACGCCTGTAATCCCAGCACTTTGGGAGGCCAAGGCAGGCAGATCACCTGAGGTTGGGAGTTCGAGACCAGCCTGACCAACATGGAGAAACCCTATCTCTACTAAAAATACAAAAAATTAGCCAGGCATGGTGGCACATGCCTGTAATTCCAGCTACTCAGGAGGCTGAGGCAGGATAATCACTTGAACCTGGGAGGCGGAGGTTGCGGTGAGCCAAGATCACGCCACTGCACTCCAGCCTGGGCAACAAGAGCAAAACTCTGTCTCAAAAAAAAACAAAAAAACAAAAATACAACAATTAGCTGGTCATGGTGGCTCATGCCTGTAATCCCAGCTACTTGGGAGGCTGAGGCAGGAGAATTAGATGTACTTGAACCCGGAGCCAGAGGTTGCAGTGAGCCAAGATCACGCCATTGCACTCTAGCCTGGGTGACAGAGCAAGACTCTGTATCAAAATAATAATAATAAAGTATACAGGGGAATATACGTAGGTTCTCTACAGATACTAAGCCATTTTATTCAGCAGATTTGGTGGGGTGGGGGTCCTGGAACCAATTTCCATTTGAAGGCCCAAGGTCAAACTCAAATTCACCGTCTTCCTATCCAAATCTACCCCACTTTTATATCTACTGTCTCCACTAATGGCAATAATCAGCCAGGCCAGAGACCTGGGAGTCATAATCAATATCTCTTGTTTCCTTACCTCTAGGCTCTTAGCGCGCACACACACACACACACACACCCCACCACCACATCTAATTGGCCAAGAAACCTTTGTAACTTTTCTGCATTACCCAGTATAGCAGCTGCTAACTTCAGATGGCCATTGAATACTTGAACTATAACTAGTCCAAATCTAGATGCTGGAAGTGGACTTTCAGACAATGCCAAATAAAAAAGAAGCATTTTGGAAATGTTTATATTGGTTGCATGCTGAAACAATAATATTTTGAATATTTTTGGTTAACTAAAATATATTATTTAAATTAATTTCCCCTATTTATCTTTACTTGTCTAATATGGCTCCTGACCCATTTTATTTCTGTTGAGCATCACTCTTCTAAATGGCTCTCCTGTGTTCCCTCCTAACCTTTCTCTATCACCACCCTAATTCAGGCCTTCATTTCTCACCTGGTGCCTGAAATTGGTTTTTTGCTTGTTTGTTTGTTTGTTTGTTTTTGCTAAACTTGGGTTCTCACTGTGTTGCCCAGGCTGGTCTCAAACTCTTGACTTCAAGTGATTCTCCTGCCTCAGCCTCCCAAATGCTGGGCTTAAGGGTGTAAGCCACTGCACCCAGCTGGTTCTCAGTCTTAACCCTCCTCTAATCTGCATGCTGTAGCCACAGGGTCTACCTAAAATATAAATGTGACCATGTCACTCTCTGACTTACACCCTTTCAGTGATGATCTATTACATTACATCATCTATTACACTTAACTCAGCATACAAGGGGTCTCTGTGAATCAGCTCTTCAATTGCCTGCACCACATATACTCTAGGTTAGAGCCCTTCGGAACTAATTGCCTTTCTCTTTTACCGCTATTTCTAGCTGTTTCTTTCCTTGCTAGAAATTTCCCATTCTCTCCAATCTAATTAACTCCCAACTTCCTTAAAGATTTCACTCTGCCTGCCCCACTGCCTGGTGTCACAGTTACCTATTTACTGCTCCTCTATCCGTTCAAGACTCTGAGCTCCTTGTTTGGGGCCTCTCCTATGGGAAAACTCAGTAAGGTTGATTGAATGCTCAGGCCCAGAGGGGTTGACTCTTTATTTCTAAGGATACTTCAGCTGTTCTTGAAACCGAGAAAGAGGAGAAATGAGATTACCTGGTAGGATTTCCAACCAATCTCTCTTTTTTCTCAAAAGTCCCTCTAGGTCAGCCAGAAGTATTCAGTGGAAAAAGTCTCCATTCTTCATAAATGCCCTCCCCAATTTCACCTCTACTTATTCTGCTACCACCCCTGCTCTCACCCAAAGGTCACTGTAGACAACTTTGGGCCCCCCTCGGTGACCTTTAGGAGTGGGAAGCTGGGTGTGATGGTTCATGCCTATAGTCACAACACTTTAGGAAGCCACGGCAGGCAAATCACTTGGGCTCAGGAGTTTGAGTCCAGCCTGGCCAACGTGGAGAAATCCTGTCTCTACTAAAAATATAAAAATTAGCCGGACATGTTGGTGCATGCCTGTAATCCCAGCTGCTCAGGTAGGTGAGGCATGAGACTCACTTGAACCCAGGAGGCAGAGTTTGCAGTGAGCCGAGATCCTGCCACTACACTCCAGCCTGGGTGATGGAGCAAGACCTTGTCTCACCAAAAAAAAAAAAAAAAAAACCTAAGGGAAAAAGGGAGTCCTGCTGAATCAGAGCAGCTCCCTCGCTCAGTGGAGGGGCTGGAGCAGACAGTATCTGCTGCGGAGTAAAAGGGGAGCCCACTCAGAGTGAGTTGGGAAGCATTTTGAGCGTCCTGCCTCCCAATGTCTTTATTCCCTCTTTCCCTATAGACCATAGTAACCTGGGAGGAGGAGCAGCTGGTGTGTGTACAGAAAGGGGAGGTCCCTAACCGGGGCTGGAGACACTGGCTGGAGGGAGAGATGCTGTATCTGGTAAATGGGGTAGGGGCTGGGTGTCTGGGAGAAGGGCCTGCAGCTATGAGGCATTCCCTTGTCCAAACCAGATAGGTCCACCACTCTTCCCCCAGCCCAGCCCCACTCCCTGTCCAAGGAATTGACCAGGGAGGGAAAGCAAAAGCACTGGGAGGAGTGGGGAGAGGAAGAAACAGAGTGGCCAAGGTGGGCCCTGGCTATGAGTCGGATGAATGCCCATAAATCATCACTGGAGCAATGGAGGCTTCAGCCATTTCACATCCCCTGACCCAGCCACCTTCCTTCCTGAGGGGTGGAAAGTTGAGGATGTGGAATAATGATACAATTGCCCATACATCAAACACTCAAGCTGCTGTATCCGGAAGGAGTAAATGGAGGTCAAGGACCTTGAGGAAGGGGCTCTGGGTGGTAAAAGCCCGCTTTCTCGCTCCCCCTTACTTCCCCTCTCTCCCCAGGAACTGACTGCAAGGGATGCAGTGTGCGAGCAGGTCTTCAGGAAGGTCAGATAGCCAGAGAGGAACTGAGGCCCCTCCAGACAGCGCCAGCCCACAGACCCTCCTGCCGTGCCCCCTTCAAGCCCAGATTGTGCCAGGTCAGCTGTCCCTGCCTCTGGCCACCTACCCTCCCTCTGGGTCCCTCCTCACCCCTCCCCTTGTTAATTTGTAACTTGCAGCCCCCAGGCCAAAGTCCTTTCTTACACGCCACTGCCCAATAGTGACCTCACTTCCAGGTCAAGGTCTGGCCTCCCAGATGAAAGAAGCAGGCAAAGGGAAGGAGCCCCTGAGAACAACCAATGTCCCCTCCCTCCTGTCCATTTGACCTCTTCTTTTCCTTCTAAGAAAGAACTAAGCTATGGGCATTTGGCGATTAGTGAAAATTCTATCCTGATGGACTTCTGGAAAACTGTGACTGGGGTTCAAGAGTTTAAACGAGGGCTACCGGCAGAGGCTTTTTGTCCATTTCTTTGTCCTTATTCTCAAGAAAGCCTCAGGTACTCAACAAAACCAGGCCCAAGACACAGCCCCACCCACACAGGGTTCAACGGACCCCACAGTTCTGACATCTGAAGGCATCTGGCTATTTGATACTTCCATCCTATGTGTTGGGAAAGAGGGATGGGATGGGGTAAGACCTTTTTCCAATGCTGGGGGAGGCGGGGAGCTTCTGAACGGTGACCTGTCTGCTTTGGGAAGGGCAAGCAGCAAGAAAGCCAGAAAAAGCAGAAAAAGGAAGTAGACGGAGGATGCGAGGTCATGGAATAAAAGACAGGAATACAGGGGTGTGAGGGCATAGGAGGGAGAAGCCCAGCAGTCCTGGCTATAGGGACCCTCTGCTGAAAGGCCAGAAAGGCTGGAGACCAGAGATAAAGAGGAGAGCTGAGGACAGCAAGGGTCCCAGAGTCTCTGCCTTGGAAAACAGCCCAGAAGGGTGGAGCTGGCTCAGGGACAAGGCCAGCTCCAGCCTCAGGCCTCCTCTCCACCTCCAGGGGCCTTGGCTCTTTCAGAATAAAAGTCCTAGGGGGGCAAGTGTCAGAGAGAAGAGGGCTCAATGTGAGGGTGGGAACAGAGCCCGGGGGAAGAGTTGAGGGAGTTGGAAAGTCCCTGGCCCTCATCAGAAGAAGACTCTTGCCCCATCTTCCTGCCATGGCTGGGCCCCCCATGCACACAAGACAGTCACTAGGGCTGTGGCCAAGAACTAGGCGTGCGATACTGATCCTACCACACACTCTGGAATGAATTTGGAATAGAAAAAAAAAAAAAAAAAAAGGAACTCGGGGTTGAATGGAATATCCTATTCCCTGCCCAACCTCTCCGCAGATGTCCCCAGTAGAGTGGAAAGCCCCTTCTTCGCAAAGCCAACCAGCAGAAGCTCTGAGGGCTGCTGGAATCCACCTTGTCCCATTCCAAGGCACAGGAGGATGCTCCGTGTGTACTCACCCATCGCCCACATCTCCAGATCAACAGTGTCCTCGCTCTTGAGTTTACAGTGCGCGTCCAAGCCTCTTCCCACAGGACGGTCCTCCATGCCCTTCAGTGACCATGCTGGTCAGTGGAGTCTCGGCAGAGGCCTTGACTCAGGAGCTTGTAGGCCCCCATGGTGGGTTTTTCTAAGTGTTTTTATACATTTTAATATTCCCCCCAAAGTTTGACACTTCTTACCATGGTGGTTTTAAGACTCAAGCTAAAGTGGGTTCAGTCCCTCAAAACTCCCAGTGATGTAGGCGTCCAGATCATGACCACTGCAGGTCCCCATCCTCCACTCGACCACACTCCTCCAGGGGCCAGACCCCACCAAGAGGCCTGGAGACCCCCTAACGGAACACAAGCATCAGGGGTGGACTACGCAGCTTCAGAGGCATCTCTAAGACGGTGGGAGCTCGACCGGCAGAGGGGAGGGGACCGCTGTGGGAGGCTGGAGCTGCTGTTTCCCCTGCGGGCAGCAGGGGGCGCTATGCACCGCAGCAGAAGCCAGGGATCCTCCAAATTCAATCCTCCCTCCTCCACCACCTTCTTGGATATTCCATTCCCACCACCAGGTGTGTTCCTTTGAATGCAGAGGACCGCATGCGACTGCCAGGATTGGGCTCAATCCACATGGTGGATCCCAAGGGAGGCAGAGCAAACAACGTCTAGCCGTGTTAACCACTCCCAACTGCCCACATCGTCCACACTCGGGCCACCACCTCGAACAGTGACCCCTGACTCCTACACTGCCAGCCGTATGTTAAGAACGAACTCAGGTACAAAGCAGGAAGATGCCTTCAACGTCTAAATGCACAAAAGCCACCCACAGGGCTTCCCAGTCTGTCTACATGGTTGACCACTTATTGCACAGAAACCTCCGTAGAGCCACACGGATCCCAAGATCCCAAGGAAGAAAGCGCAGCGGGCAATGGGCCATTTTGGTCCCTTTTCCCCCACTCTATGTCGCGATCGCTAAGATGCAGGATCTACATCTGGTCGATGAGACTTAAGTACCCCAAGTAAGAGCCCTGGTATCCCTAGCATGCAGAGGATGAGATGAGGGTGAGATGGCTTGCCTTCCCCTCAACCCACCCCTCCAGCGGCTCCCTGCTCTCGTCCACAGGATGCAATCCTCCCTAGGCCTAGCTGCTCCCACCCTGGCTGGGATTAGGACCACTGCTTTCTTTTTTTTCTTTTTTTTTTTTCTTTTCTTTTCTTTTTCTTTTTTTTTTTTTTTTTGAAACAGGAATCTTTTTCTGTTATCCCAGGCTGGAGTGCAATGGTGACAATCTGACCTCACTGCAGCCTCTACTC